TAAATGCTATCGTATACCAGTTGCATAGATGGCCATGGTGTCACTCACAGACTTGTCTGGTCCTGACTCGATAGATAGATAGATAGATAGATAGATAGATAGATAGATAGATAGATAGATAGATAGATAGATAGATAGATAGATAGATAGATAGATAGATAGATAGATAGATAGATAGATAGATAGATAGATAGATAGATCGATAGATCGATAGATAGATAGATGAGGTGGTCAGACGTGTCGACATGATTACTAAATGTTATCGTATACCAGTTGCATAGATGGTAATGATGTCAGTCCCAGGCTTGTCTGGTCCTGACTCGTTAGATAGATAGATAGATAAATGGATGGATAGATAGATATATGGATAAGTAGGTGGACAGACAGACAGACGGACGGACGGACGGACGGACGGACGGACGGACGGACGGACGGACGGACGGATGGATGGATGGATTGATGGATGGATAGATAGATAGATAAATAAATAGGTGGATGGATTAATAGATAGACAGATAGTGTTCGGGGAGGCTCAGTTACACGAGGAAGGTGCTGGGAAATCTGGAAACATAATAAAGTGCGATCCACTGGGATTCCGATGAGTTAATTTATTGCTGATGAGATTTCAGAGAGTGTCTAGGTCTCAGGTGTTGGTCAAGCAATTCGTGAATGTTTCGGAGAGGTTTGTAATATATACGAGAGGACATTTCCCCTTATGAACACTTATTGCATACATACTCATGGAAACGAATACGGGAACAAGTGAAAGTACAAGTGTCCCTTTATTCTTTTCCAGATTTCTTCACAAGGTACGTTTTGCACTGTTGGGGAAAATCTGGAAATCAATAAAGGAACACTTGTACTGTCATGTGTTCCCTTATTGGTTTCCATGAGTATATAGTAATGATGACACCGGTGTGACTATGGAATGACGTCAGCGTAAGCGATATATAAATATAAACTTTGTTTAGTCTCAAAATGAGAAAAATATTTATCAATGATCTTGTAGTATTTAAAGAATAACACTATAAACGTAAGAAAGAATATCGTTTGACGTACATTTAGTTCTACTGTTTATGAATGATATGGTTCATGGTGCTGTTTCAATGCACGAGCTACTTACAGGAGATATACCTGTTTGCGATATACATACGTGTGTAGTTTTGTAGTTTGGGGAGTGGGTTTGGGGTGTTGAATTATATAACTGACATATTTTCTTCCCAATACGACATCATGTGTAATCGTTAACACTTCCCTTCATCAACAGCGTTAAGCTGGAACCGTTGAGGGTAGAATACGTAAAAGTGAGTAAAAGGGAGTAAAAGGGAGTAAAAGGGAAGTTTATATCAGTGTCATCAATGCTAACACTTTCCACAGACTGCATCTGAAAATTATGGTGCATTGGTTTGAGACATCAGTGTCAGATGCCATTCCCTACCTTGAAATATGCCATATGTTTCGTGGTTTTGATGCTGAACAATTGACTTGCCTTTGCATGCTTTTGGGACGGGTGACACCGGTCGGTTATGCACGCTCCTTTTCGCAAGTATTATCACTATTTGATAGTGATTCATAAACACATGTTCATGATAAAGCCTGGAAACTACGACTGATTGCCACTCTTCTGTAAACCGAGATTTCTCATCAGTGAGTGAGTGAGTTTAGTTTTACGCCGGTTTTAACAATATTCCAGCAATATCACGGCGGGGGGCACCAGAAATGGGTTTCACACATTGTACCCATGTGGGGAATCGAACCCGGGTCTTCGGAGTGACGAGCGAACGCTTTAACCACTAGGCCACCCACCGCCCCATATTTATCATGAATATTGAAAGGGTTCAATTATATTTATACAGTAAACTATGGTTATAACTCACTCACTCACTCATTTTAGTTCGATATAACCATAGTTCGTTATATGCATGTCGGGTAAGATATAGTGGCCAAGACGAGCTTGGCATTTCCGATAAATTGAAAATGTGAGACATCTATATTTTAACATCGATATTTCGGATTAACAATTAATGACCAAGATATTTTTATGGATTAAACTTCTTTTTAATTTCTCTCACGACGTTTCGAGACCATTCCAGGTCCCTTCATCAGGTGAACTGGCAGTTAGGACTATGACGTCATAAAAGAGTTGTGACGTCACAATGCAAGTGACATCACAGTACACTAGGGAGAGTACTGTATAAGTGAGTTTGAAGAGTTTGAAGAGTTTTAATTACATAATGATGAACATTCATGCTAAATTAAAAAGAAGTTTAATCCATAAAAATATCTTGGACATCAATGTACAACTTCTAAATGCCACTGAAAGACAACAATTAATGAATTAAAAGGTAATGATGCGCTTTAAACGACTACGCTTATAACGAACTGACGGATATAACGAACTTTTTAACTATGAGAAATCCATGCAATGCCCATTGTCCGATTGTAGCTATTAATACTTAATAGTACCTTCTATCGTTCATATCCCTGCATATTAATTCATAGCATGTGTATCTAGCATGTTACGCAAGCTTGGGTGACTTTAGGTTTGCTTTTAGCAATATTCCAGCAATATCATGGCGGGGGACACCAGAAATGGGCTTCAAAAATTGTACCCATGTGGTAAATGGAACCCGGGTCTTCAGCGTGACGAGCGAACGCTTTAACCACTTGGCCCCCCCACCGCATCTTGTGAGTAAGCGAAAGATGTATTACACATACAAGGTAAAAGTGTGCCGTATTTTTGGTAGATTAATGTAATGGCAAATGTGAAAGATGTTAACAAAATCATTTTATTGTTACAACTTGAAGATGTTAGCCGCTATAACGACTAAATGCATGCTTGTAGATGTGTTTAACACACGGGTGAGTGAGTGAGTTTAGCTTTACGCCGCTTTTGGCAATATTCCAGCACTATCACGGCGGGGGACACCAGAAATGGGTTTCACACATTGAAATACATGAAAATATATCGTCATTAAATTGATAAGTTCATATTTTGTACAGTCCGCTCACTTAACCCACACGTTGTTGCTTACAGCATTTACGTATCGGGTAGCAATGGTACTTGAGAAATAATTATGTTTGTACATTATTTAAAACGGTAAAACATTACTGGTGTAGTAGCATATATGAGTGAGTTTAGTTTTACGCCGCACCAAGCAATATTCCAGCTATATGGCGGTGGTCTGTAAATAATCGAGTCTGGACCAGACAATCCAGTGATCGATCCACGCAATTGGGAACCGATGACATGTGTCAACCAAGTCAGCGAGCCTGACCACCCGATCCCGTTAGTTGCCTCTTACGACAAGCATGGGTTTTTGAAGATCAATTTTAACCCGGATCTTCACGGATCGGTACAATATGTGAAACTATTTCACCGCTACAACATGAAGTTGAAAATCCGGGCACTCTTTTCAGTGAACACAAATGTATTCACATGTATATCAACCATGTAACGACTAGCAATGATAAGTGAGACGAAAGCATGTTTCTCGATTCTTTACGACGAGAAGATGTGACAAGGGTGGCAATGACTATGAACAGGATACACACGCGCGCGCGCGCACGCACGCACGCACGCACACGCACACACACACACACACACACACACACACACACACACACACCATTGCCCTGCTAATTAACATGGTCTGGTGATCCTCTTACTCCTTAAATAAACAACTTGCCCGACTGGCAAAAGAGGAACACCCCGATTCGCCGTTATATCTTAAGTTGATAATATGTACAATCTGACTGGTTAAAGCAACGCTGTTAGCGATGATTGTGTAACTGGTACGAATAGTAAGTGAGAAGAAATAGTGATTGTAAATCCTTTACACGGGAAAAACGTGACAGGAGCGGTAAATATATGAAAATAATTCACCGTTATAATTTGCACTTGATGATCCGAGCACTCTTTTCAGTTAGCACAAATGTTTTGACTTGTATTTCATTTATGTAACGGCTAACGATGTTACGTGAGAAGAAATAATGTCTGTGCATTCCCTACAACGGTGAGATGTGGCGGAGATGAACAATCTATGAAACTCTTTCACCGTTACAACTTAAAGTTGATAATCCGAGAATTCTTCGTATTTTGCACAAATCTTGTTAATTGTATATAATTTATTCAACGGCTAGCAAAAGAAACCATGCTTGTAATTCTCTACAAAGCCAAAACGCGACAGGGGTGGACAAGATATGAAACTATTTCACCGCTACAACTTAAAGTTGATAATCCGAGAATTCTTCGTACTTTGCACAAATCTTGTTAATTGTATATAATTTATTCAACGGCTAGCAAAAGAAACCATGCTTGTAATTCTCTACAAAGCCAAAACGCGACAGGGGTGGACAATATATGAAACTGTTTCACCGTTACAACGTGAAGAAGATAATCCGTGCACACTTCTAAGTGAACACAAATGGTGTTACTTGGATATCATTTAAGTAACGGCTAGCATAATACGTGAGAACAAATTGTGTTTGTATATTCTTTACACAGGACAAAAACTATTTAACTGTTACAACTTGCAGCTGATACCTCGAAAACTCTTCTCACAGATTGCAGTGATATGTGAGAAGAAATATTTGTGTATTCTTTAGAACGGTGAGATGTCAAAGATGTGGAAAATATATGAAACTATTTCACCGTTACAACTTGCAGTTGGCAATAAATGATAAATGACATAAATGATACCCCGAAAATCCCTCTCAGGTAACCCAGTGCTGTTATAGATAATGTAACGGGTATATTATTTTAGTAACGGCTAGCAATGATACGTGAGAAGGTAAACAAACTGTGACAGGTGTGGACGATATATGAAACTATTTCACCTTTGAAATTGATAGTCCGTAAAATCTTCTCAGTTAACCTAAAGCTATCACAGATAATGCATTAATGTGACAATGGTAAGTGAGGAACACTGAATAATTAAATGAAATAATTTTATACATCTACAGTATATGACAGGTGTGGCAAACGAAGAGCATCCTACCTTGAATGGACGCTACAATGACGAGAAGCACTAGCGACAAGTTAGTCATGTTGATGTTGGTCCCCGTGGTGATCTGCTATGTTCAGAGTATTCCCACCCCTCACTAGTTGTGCCTTCTCCTTCCCAGTTGTCAGTGGACGAGCGTATAGAACGAGCGCTTTATATGGCACTGCCACACATCAATAATGCACGCAATTCAATAATACCACGCCAGCCGCTGGAGTCGAGGAAACTCGCCAGGGAGACCTTTGCTGTAAGGGTCAGCTCACTAAACAATCCGGGTGCCGTATTTTGACGTTGACGATGCCACCCCCGACATTTCTATTCAATAGAAAGACTGGCTCCGCCCATTGGGTCACATGATCTGCACTGATTTGAGCTGGAGGCTTCGAGGTGGGTCTTCCCACGTTGTACAGAACATTGTCTAAATCGGGAGGAAGTACGTTTAGGTTTCAGGTTGAACATGGAAACGAGTTCTAATAGTAGTGACGTTTTCCTTACACGAGTGTGATAAGGTGGGCCATTACGCAACAATATATAGTCCTTTGTCACGTCTTATGGCATTTATGATAGTTCCTGTCATTAATCATCGGTGGGAAACCTCTACCACCCGAATGATGCAATGGTACACGAAACGTTAAGGCACTATATTAGTCTCACAGGAACACTGTTCCACTGCTTCTGTTCAAATCTGGTTGATTTTTATCATACAACAACACCTCACAGCAATAATCCAGAAAAAAATATGTGTCCATCAATGAGCATCTGTTTAATTATTTAACGAAGAAGGAGATCCAGATAATCACGGATTAGTATTCCCGATCACACCGCACGTTTCCGGATTAGCAAAGTCATGGTCATAATACGCAGTTTCCTCAGGACGTCGGGCTCCGATTATACAGGGTCCGGATTAGCTAGGTTTGCATTGTATTTTCACGTCGTTGCTTGTAGATATTTCTTACATCTATGTAAGAAACTACTATTAACTATGATTGACTATTAATTAAGACACTCATACCTACATGCCTTTGACGAGGTTGGAATGCCTCTAGTCACTACAGAGATCTTACCAATACCGACTTAACTTCGTTCATAATAAGCAGTTATTTTTTCACATCGATGAGTTTTACGATGTCCATGGGCGATTCATATCTAAAAAGTGTCATTTCAACGTGACTGTCGTTGCTGGTAGAGGAATACACGTTCCGAGCGCTCATTTGACTGAAATAATCAATGAATATAAATGTGTATATTTCAGGGCTAGGTTTACGCGCAAAATCATATAACCCAGTATAAGTGTTTTAAAGGCTTATACCATTATATTATATAATTTAGGTCCAAAAAACTCAATTAATATTGACAATTTACACACAAAAAATCGTATGTACACTCCAGGGACAAAGGAGCGGTGGGGTAGCCTAATGGTTAAAGCGTCGCCTCGTCACACTAACGACCCGGGTTCGAATCCCCACATGGGCACAATGTGTGAAGGCCTTTTATGTCCCCAGCCGTGATATTGCTGGAATATTGCTAAAAGCGGCATAAAACCCAACTCACCCACTCCCAGGGACAAAACATGTTATATACTGTTTCATAAAGCACATATGATACATGTGGTCACACCTGTTCTCCCAGCAGAAAATGGATACCCGGTGGGATAAGTCATGTGACTATTAACCTTCTAGCGCCTCACAGGCAGCTTGGGTTATCCGGGGTAATAATGAACTGTCTGTTTGTATGCGCTTCGAGCATGGACTTGGTGTATGGAATTTAGCGCTATAGACTGACTGACTGAGTATGGTTTTACGCCGCTTTTAGCAGTCTTCCAGCAATATCAAGACGGGGGACACCAGAAATGGGCTTCACACATTGTACCCATGTTGGGATTCGAACCCGGGCCTTCGGCATGACGAGCAAACACTGTAACCACTAGGCTACCCCACCGCCCAGCACTATAGAAGTACACATTATTATTATTTATTATGAGAGGTCTGAACATGCAACATCGAAGCCAGAGAACAACCTGTCCCTATTGTCCGTCGATACAGATTTAATTGAGTTAATATGTCCCTCCCTACATCCAGAACTCACTGAACCATGTCCTATTTAGAGAAATCACACAGTTCAATTTGTATATATAATTATGAATAACAGGTCAATGCATGGTTTGTGCTCCTTAAAGAAAGCACAGAATGAAGGCCTGTACTGGTAAATCACATGCCAAACCTCTTCCCTGAATCCCCGGTCCAAACTATTGTTTATACTGACGAAACAAAGTTCTAAACTCAAGGTATATATTGGAAAATAACCAAAAAAAGTGTTCATCATAACGATGCTTGCTAGGCATAAACTATGGTCTAGATTGCTGACCAGTCAAGGTATATATGAGTAAATCACAAAAGTAAATCTTTCCCTAAAGTAAAGCACCACAGGGATAAACTAGTACTCTGGTTTATATTGATTATTGATCACTGTATATATGAGTAAAACGACAACGTTAACCCATCCTTTTAGTTAAGTTTGATCGGGCTAAACTCTGTTTTAAATTGGCGATAGATAGAGGTAGATGGATGGATGGATGGATGGACTAATGGATGGATGGATGATGGATGGATGGATGGATGGATGGATGGATGGATGGATGGATGGATGGATGGATGGATGGATGGATGGATGGATGGATAGATAGATAGATAGATAGATAGATAGATAGATAGATAGATACTAGACTTTTCCCTGTATTGAACTATCATCGAGCTAAACTCCACATACATTGTTTATATAAATCATCGTGTGTACATACGAAAATCACAAATGTAAACCCTTCCTAATAGCAAAGCATCATCGGGCTAAACTATGACATTTATATGATCATATAGATCGTGTGTATACAGAAATTACAGACGTCTACTCTTCCCTTTGGTGAAGCATCACTGATTTAACTCTGGTTTAGACTGAATATATACATATGTCATCGTGTGCGTTAAAAATCACAAATGTTAACCCTTTCTACATTGAAGCATCTCTGGTCTTAGCTTTGGTTTATAGTGATTACATATATCACTTTGTGTATATAAAATCACAAATGTAAACCTCTCCCGATAGTGAATCATAAATGGTTTTAACTGGTTTATATATTGGTTATATAAATCATAATGCGTATAAAAAAACACAAACGTAAACCTTCCCTACAATGAAGCATCATTGGGCTAAACTCTATAAACGTTGGTATATATAATGATTATATAATTCATCGTATGTATACATATTTATCATCCAAAACTGTGTACCACAGTAGATATCGCTTGTGTGAGATCAAACGATATCTCCTAGGAGATATCGTTTTGACAGTAGATTTTGTACAATGCCCTGACAATGCTATGACGTCATGAACTTGTTGACGTCACAATGTTATGACATTGCTGCACTGCAAATCTAATGGCAGTACTGTGTTCAGAGATGTACATTTTTCATTGAAAACTAATGAAGAGTGATTTTTGATGATAAATAGAATCTCACCCTCGTGTCTTCTGATATCAATAAGTAAACTTACTTTATCAACTCGTGGTGATATATTTGATATCAAAAGACACGAGGGTGAGATTCTCTCTCTATATATATACAGAAGGAAATATATTTTGGTTATTCCCAGGCTGATACTATAGGTCGTACTCAAATGGAGAAAGCCCTTATTGATGAGTCTAATATAATCATGACAATGTCTAAATCAACGGCTACTTCTGCTATTGCGGCATCATGTGGAGGTGTGTGGTCCTGTGTACAGAGCTCAGGTCACAATTCAGTTGAAGTTAAGCAGCGTTGAGGGCGGAGAGTCTTTGGATGGGTGACCGTGTTTGGCAGCTCGACTCCTGAGAGTTTCTAGGACTTCAGTCCTGCCCTACAACGAAGCACAAGTGATACACGTGGTCTCACCTAAGGCAAGTGAGTTTGTTCTAAATTGCCTCTGTTCACCCAGCAGAAAATGGGTACCCGATAGGATAAGGCCTGTGATTAAACTTCCAGCGCTTCACAGGCAGTTTGGGTTATCCGGGTAATAATAATTAGACTGTCGTGTGTGCGCTTCGAGCATGCAATGAGCGTGGAGTATAGCGCATTGTAAACCAAAAGTCACTGTGTCCTTTAATCTGATTGGTTGAAAAACGTGATCAAATGGTATTCGATTCCCGGAAATTCGCTGCGTATTAATACATGCAAACATCGCTCACACCATTGTATTGTTACGTCGTCAGCTATGATGACGTCATTAAAATCATATTGTGACGTAAAGTCCGAATGACGTCACAAATGAGCAGTTGCAGATGCTGCCATGGGAAACAGCCGAAACGGCCGGCTGATGATATTTCACTACTGTACCCGTACTCGATTTCAATGAGTGCAGACACAAAAACGTGTGTGGACCTTTGGGTTTACTTTTGTGTTTACAATGTCGATAAACATCATCTGTTGGCCAATTTCCGGGTGTTATTGAGTATTTGAAGCACGGGAATATTTCATTTGAAACCTCCGGCTGACGCTGTCGGTTCCAAATGAATTCCCCTGCTTCAAATACTCAATAACACCCGGAAATTGGCCAACACATGATGTTTATATCTCCTAATTTGAAAACTATGAAAACATTTTTGCAGAATGTACAGGCATACAATACCCTTCTACAGATAACATGTGAATCTTATGTACGCCTTTATCAGAAAACTTAGCAATACATCAACCTTACAGTACACAAGTCCAACAAAACTATCCTTACACGGGTTACTCGTATAGGTATGGTGGAATTCATTCGGGGTTTTTTTCAAATTTATAACATTGACAGACCATCGATAGGTCGTATTCATCTTCAACTACTGATATGCCTTGCCATGGCAATATAAACATATTTCATTACAGTACAGTGTATTATGCCGCCACGTTACATTTGGAAGTTATTATATCTGGACTGGCTTAAAACTGTAGAATATAGCTAAGGAAAAATATATTTATAATAATTTCATTTGCACCATTGTCTGAAAGAGACAATATGCTGTAAGAATCATACAATTTTGCTTTGTAAAATGTCAGACATTTTTTGCACAATGTATAGGCATAAGATTTTATTATTTTTTTATTATAGCATATTTATATAGCGCACGTATCCACGCAACTAGTGCATGCTCAAGGCGTTGTTATTTTCCCCTCGATCATTGGATGTCAATCTCAACGGCACAACGTATTATCAATCTCAACTCCCTGGGGAGTATACAACTCTTGCTGCCACTAG